GAGACCGGTCAGCGAGAAGTCAGAGTTCTCATCGACGTAGTAAGAAGAGAATGAGGGCAGCTTGACACCGGACACGTTCTCCTCCTTGGCTCGCACACGCAGACGAGCCGATCGAACGGACTCCTGGACCTGGTAATTGATGTTGTCGCCGGTGGCGTAGGTGACCTCGGCCAGAGAGAAGGCTGCGGTCTGCATGACCCGGCCCATCTTGTGCTTGGACTCGTCAATCTTTCGAGTGATGTCTCGGAACCGCTTGGTGAGGGCTTCGGACTTTCGCTTCAGCAGGTTATGGCCCTGGGTGGCTCCCTTGAGCTTACCCTTCATCATACCCAGGGTCATTCGCGTCGGAAAGACGGCTTCTCTGAGTTAGTTCTGGTGCTGACGAGCGATTGAGCGATCTGGCATGTTGTTGATGACAGTGACGACATGTGACTTTTGAGGGGGAAGCGGTTGGCAATAGAGCAGCATCCCTTCTCCATTCATTCAACAGCCCCACTCGTGCGCTTTGTGGTAGTACTCACCTGTTATTGGCCGACATTGTGGTTTTGGAGGATGAGCAACGACGTCGTCGACGGTGTAGATTAGCGGTAGCACGTCTGGGTTAACTTAAACGTTAGGGAGGTGTGACGAGTAAGGTAGAGTGGAGGTACAAGGAGTAGAAATTTGAGCCACACGAATAATACAAGACAAGAGAAATATTTCAACGAAGACACAGAGTCATAAATCACACTTGAATAACCACCCACTCTCCTCCACACTCGACATCGTCTCGCTAACTCACCTACCCTAACCACCACGCTGCATATTCTGCAGCATGGAATTTCTGGCCCTCCATCATGTCGCAACACGAATTGGATATCGTCTCCAGCCCAGGCGACGTGCGCCCGTGGATCCGGTACATCTCGTCCGTCAAGAGCGACAAGACCACTGCGCGCCAAAAATGCGTGCTTTTTGAGCGGGCTGTCACGGCTCTTCCGCGGTCCTACAAGCTGTGGAAGGAGTATCTCGACTTTCGCAGCGGTCTGTGCACTGGCCTGAATCCCGTCCAACACGCCGACGAGTACGATCGTGTGAACGCGCTCTACGAAAAATCACTCGTTTTGCTCCACAAGATGCCCGTTATCTGGCTGCAGTATCTCCAGTTCTTGATGCTGCAACCCAAGGTGACGAAGACGAGAGCCGTTTTCAACGAGGCACTGCGATCGTTACCGGTGCAGCAACACCCCCGAGTTCTGAAGCTCATGCTGCAGTTTGGCAACAAGGTAGGAGGACTCTCAAGCGTGCAGATCTGGAAGAGATACGTTTTGGCATACCCCGAGCAGAAGGAGGCAATGGCAAACTCGCTGATCGAGATGGGCTTCCAGAGCGAGGCTGCAGTTACTCTTATTGAGCTGCTGAATGTCTCGGGCGACAACTACACGTTGTGGACGGAGCTGGTGGAGCTCATTGGAGAGAGTGACAAACTCACGGTGGAGCCTCCTGTGGAACAAATCATTTCGTCGGGAATCAAACGGTTCCCCGACCAGAGAGGACCGCTCACGGTGCAATTGGCCAACTTCTTGGTCCGAAACGGTGACCTGGAGTCTGCCAGAGACGTGTTTGAGGACGGAATCACCACAGCCAACACCGTGCGAGACTTCACGGTGGTGTTTGATGCATATGCCGAGTTTGAGGAGCGAATCGTCACTCACTTGATTGAGAATGAGTCGCCAATGGCAGATCTGCGAATCGCAAAGCTGGACCATCTCCTCGAACGACGACCCTTTCTCATCTCAGATGTGAGACTGCGAAGAGAGCCATACTCTGTTATCGAGTGGCAGAAGCGAATTGCACTCTACGACGATCCAGCAGAGACTGTGGCTGCATACACAGAAGCAGTGCAGTCTATTCCTCCTGCCAAGGCTGATGGAAAGCTGTCTCAGCTGTGGATCTCGTGGGCGCAGTTTTACGCAGAAGATAGAGAAACTGCCTGCGAAATCTACCACAAGGCCACCCTGGTTCCGTACAAGTCTGTGTCGGAGCTGGCTGACGTCTACCTCGCATGGAGTCAGTACGAGAGTGAAAACGACCACTGGGAGAACGCTGTCAAGATCATCAAGGGAGCACTCGAGTCTCCTAACACACACGTCTCATACCACAACTCTGATCTCACGGCTCAGGACAGAATCCACAAGAGTGTGCGTCTGTGGTCATACTACGCCGACCTGGTGGAGTCGTACGGCACGTTCGAAGAGACGAAACAGGTGTACGAGCAGATCATGGCGCTGGATCTGCTGACCCCGCTGTTTGTGGTCAACTACGCCACGTTGCTGGAGGAGAACGACCACTACGAAGAAATGTTCAAGGTCTACGAGAAGGGAATCTCGTTGTTTGAGGAGAGTGCATTCGAGATTTGGAACCTGTACCTGGTCAAGGCTTCTCCTCGTCTGGGACTCGAGAGACTGCGAGACCTGTTTGAAGACGCCATCTCTAAATTCCCAACACAAAAAGCCCTCTACATTCTGTACGGCAAGCTCGAGGAGGATAGAGGCTTGATAAGCAACGCCATGAAGGTGTACTCTGCCATGTGCGACCATGTCAAGACGTCAGAGACCTTCAAGTACTACATTGGACGAACCGTGGAGAACTTTGGACTGGCTGCAACTCGTCCCGTCTACGATAAGGCTCTTGAGTCGCTTCCCAACAAGGATGCCTCTGAGCTGGCTCTGGACTACGCTCAGATGGAGGAGAAGCTCGGAGAGATCGACCGAGCTCGTGCCATCTACGGCTACGGCTCTCAGTTCTCCGATCCCCAGATCGTCAAGTACTACGACGCTTGGCACAAGTTTGAGGTCGCCCATGGTACTGAAGACACGTTTAAGGACATGCTTCGAATCAAGCGGTCTATCCAGGCCCAGTTCAACACAGACATCCACTATGCCACGACGGCAGCCGAGGTCAACAAGGGCCCCGTGCAGGAGTTTATCAAGGGCGAAACTGTACAGAAGGGCAACATCGAGTCTCCTGCTGCTCAGGCTAACGAGGACGAGATCGAGCTCGATATTTAAGGTAATTAGCATAATGTATATTAGTCATGAAACAGCCATTAGGTCGATATAAATTACAATACGTATTATTTACTGAAGCCATCCCCAGACGTTCTTCACCAGGATAGCACCATCCTCATCCAGAGGGCCCTCCAGCTCAGCAATGAGCTCCTGTGCGCTCTGTCCAGAAACAATGTGGTCCACAATGAACTTGATGAGGTCCTCTTCCTTGGCACCCAGGAACTCCTCCACCTGCTCACCAACGTAGTCGGTAAGACGGCCAACATCAGGCACGGAAACAGGCTTGGAAAGCACATCCACGGCCTCCTTGGGGTCCTCCTTGGGCTTGAGAGAGATTGTGATGGGACCAGCAGGTGCTGCGGCCTCTGCGTCCTCTCCCTCTTCGGCCTCCTCCTTCTCTCGTCGAATCTCGCCGTCTCGGAACTCGGCTCGGTTGCGGGTCCAAGTAGCGTGGTCGTAGTAGTAGATGTGTCGCTCCTTGGCACGCTCTCTGTCGTCGTCGTAGTCGACCAGCCGCGAAATAGCAATCTTTCTGTTCTTCTCGAGCTCCTCGGGCTCCACCTGCTTCCACTGGCTGATGAGATCTCGCAGTCTGCCGTTCTCGTAGCCAAGCCATCGCTTCTGGGCCTCGATAAACAGGTCCTCCACCTCGTCTTCCTTTTTGTCCATGATTGCGGCAGCGTAATCCTCGTCGGAAATGTTGTCTCTGTTCTCAATGCTATGCAGCTCTCGAGAGTACTCTCGGTACATCTCTCGCTCCTTCTCCGACAGACGCAGATCAGTGGCTCGGTTGGTTGTGCTGGTAGAAGTGCTGGTGGTGTTGTTGACAGGTCCCAGAGCCTTCTCTGCTGCTGTGGTTCGTCGAGCCATTCTCTGCTTGCCAAACTCGCCTCGCTTAGCAAGAGCATCCTTCTCAGCGTTGACGGCAGAGTTTCTGAAGTTCTTGATGTCGTTCTTGAGGTTGGTTCGATCAGGCTCGATGACATCGTAGAATGGATCCACGTCAAATGTGATTTGACTGAGAGGCAGCTCCTCCTCCTCCTCCTCTTCCTCCTCTTCCTCCACAACCTCGGATCCATCGATGATGGCCTGCATCGAATCAATCAGATTGGCAGGCGACTTGCCGGTCTCAGACAGAATCAACGAGTCGTTGACATCATCGATTTTCGACATGGTGTTCTCCTCGCACGTCACATTGATCTTCTTCTCCTCCTCTCCGTCCATCACCGTCAGCTCTCCCAGACATCTTCGAGCCACAGCCACACCCATCGCACTGCTGAACGTGACGAACCCCGCGTCCGTCTTGTAGCCACACACGTCCTTCAGACGAGTCCACGCCGATATCGTGGGAAGCAGGCCCAACAGGTTGTCCAGGGCTTTGTCGCTGATCTTGGGCATGCCGTTGAAAAAAACAGTGTGGATCTGCTGGGACTGCAGAATGCCAGCAGTCATATACTGAACACTGTCGGCCTCCTTTCTCGTCTTGAGCTTGGTCTTTGTCGTCCCGTTCGCCTTGCTCGAGGCATCCTTCTCTTCCTTCTCCACCTTCTCAGGAATGATTCCTGGAATGACAGGCAGAGCTCCCGGCTTGAAGACTGGATCAACCAGCTTCGGGAGCTTAGACGCCGCCATAGATCCTCGGCTCACGTCAGGCACGAGGCCCGGGATATCGTGAGCGTTCTTCTTGTACGGATCGTGAAACATGGGTTGTGTGTGGTGATGAGACTCTGCACGGTTCTCTCTATACTGATGCAAAGTTAATGCACGAAACTTTGACCAGAAATTTCAAACGCGAAAAACAGAGGAGCTCGAAGGGCTGCAAACGGCCCTGGAAGCAGTGGAAAAGCAGATAGAAAAAATTATTAGAACAATTGAAACATATCAGTCTAAAAAAATTGCAAAAAGGCGACCGGATTTTAACCGGCCTTGCTCTCCGAAGAGAGGCAGCACTTTCTCCCCTCGCAGGGATCGAACCTGCAATCTCCTGTTTCGTAGACAGGCGCCTTGCCATTAGGCCAGAGGGGATGCCACTTGATATCCCAAAAAAGTGAACTTTCAATTTATAGTGCAAAATATCGAAAAATCCGCGCGACGCAAATGCAGCTGTTGCAGGCGATTTATTCCAGTTTTTTTGAGTCTACCTGTGAAATACGCATCTGATTTACCAACAGGAGCATTTTCTGTACCAATTTATGGGCTATAATGTGCTGATTTGGCACATCGTTTTGCCGAAATTTTGGAATTTCGAGCATGAAAGAGGTAAACGCTCGCCAGAGCCTCATAATTTTTTTAAAATGAATAAATATTCAAACTGGAAAATATTGACGGCTTTTATGATACACCAGAAAACTCTTTGTACATTTTTTACATCCTTGAACGCTTCAAAACTTCCCTCAAACTTGACCCCTTGTACCCCCAAAGTGTGATGTGCATCAAAACACTCTCCAGCAGCAATTAAACACCCGCCCGAAGAGCTACGGCTCGTGTGACTTCACGGAAGCAGTCTAAATCTTCAATTGCGGAATGTAGAGCGCATCCAGACAGTTTTCATCCCACTTTGGGCCACCCCACTTGTCTCGTTTGTCTCACGACTTTCTGGGACGAAGCGTGGAACTCAGAAATGAGGTTTATGACATCATGAAGACAGGCACGATGATCCAAATGAAGGCGGAACTGTAACTGTTCGGTCCAAGCGGATTTGGAAATTCTTTGCTTCAGGTCTTCTTGTGATGCTTAGGATTCATTTTCCTCCTATGCTAATTAGAACATTCATTGCTAGATCACATTGTGCCCCTGGTTTGTTACAGTAGCGTGACACCAATAGAAAGGACAATACAACATTAAATGCAAACGAAATGAGTCTACAACTGTAGGAGCAGCCTCATCTAATGATAGACCGGATTAACTGAGTCACGGCCTCCAGGGATCACATCTTCTTGCATATCGGTCGAAATGATATGAAATGTAAAACTGACCCAGTGCCCTATTTCCTTGTGTTTCTCAGATAGTGTGGCGCAGCTGAATTCTATGTTTATAGTCTCGGCGAATCCACGTGGAGATCCGGGTACGTATAAATTATACCCCGGCGGCAAAAATTGCATGAACACAAGCTCAGTTATTTTGCTAAGTCCTGTGGTTCGGAGCGATCTCGCTAAGATGAGGTTGCATCAAATCTGTGGTTATTGCGTCCAGCAGGTGTTCTAGATCCTATCGCTCGCCATAGTAGAAAACCGATATCTGCAGTGCCGAGGTACTCCGGGACAGTGTGGAGACCTCTGACAGCCTGCCCATGATACCGAATACGAGTTACGGTGTTGCTATCATTACTGCCTGATAGCGGAGAATCTTAATGAACTGGGCCGTTATTACACATTGGTTTACGCTAAGACACCTTCAGACGACCCAAAAGGACACTAAACTTCTTTGTTATCCTATGAAAATGGAGCTATAGTGGGGCCAGACCGTTATCTATCCAGTCGTGTCTTTATTCAAGCTTCTTCATTAAAATGTATTATTCGAAACTCTAAGCTGCTGGAGGCCTTATCAGCAGGGGTTAGATAACAAGGTACATCTGTGGCCAATAGCATTAAAAGCACCGATAAACATATTTGAACAGGAACTGATTGTGGACCGATATGAATGTAAAAAATTGCAAGATTTTCAGCCGCCCTGGACCTCGCGTGGGTCCAGATGTATCCATTTTCTTCTCAGTGCCAAGAATGCCGAGACTTTTCGGAGGTCGTAGCCCTGTAAGTCGAGCTATCAACTCTCCCCGCGTCCTAAGATCGTGGGTGACATATTATTGCAGCTATTGTGATTCAACCCCACCTTACATGATGGTGAGACGCGCCGTTTAGCTTTTGCCGACCACAGAGGATCCACCTGTATATATAAGGAAACGGAGGCCCAGGGCTTGAGATCAAGATATACACGACAAATAATGGGACTAGAACTAGAATCCCAACAATCAGTACAGCAGCAAGTACAGCAGCACGATGAGGCCGTGCTTGCCGACATCGGCTACAAGCCCGAGCTGGCCCGAAACTTCTCGATGCTCCAGGTCTTCGGCATCGCATTTTCCATCATGGGCCTGCTGCCCTCTATCGCTACCACCCTCTCATACACGCTTCCGGCTGGTCCCTACGGTATGGTGTGGGGCTGGTTTGTCGCATCAGGATGCGTCATGACTGTGGGTCTGTCTATGGCTGAGCTTGGATCCGCGCTTCCTACCTCTGGAGGTCTCTACTGGTGGACTTATCACTTTGCGCCTGAGAAGGCCAAGAGACCTCTTTCGTTTCTGGTCGGATACTCCAACACCCTTGGTTTGACGGGCGGTATCATGTCTATCGACTACGGTTTTGCCCAGATCTTCGTCAGTGTGATCATTATCGCGACTGACGGAAAGTGGAACCCATCTCCCTACACCGTCTACGGTATCTTTGCAGCCTGTGTCATTTCCCACGCTTGTGTCGGTTCCCTCGGAACCAGCCACATGGCCAAGGCTCAGACCGTCTGTATCTACACCAACATTGCTATTATCGTCGTCATCATCATCGCTCTGCCCATCGGAGGACGACACAACCTGAACTCTGGCGAGTACATGTTTGGACACATTGACAACCTCACCGACGGCTGGCCCTCTGCCTGGGTCTTCTTCCTCACCTGGCTCAGTCCCATCTGGACCATTGGTTCCTTCGACTCGTGTGTCCACATGTCCGAGGAGGCTTCTAACGCGTCCCGAGCTGTTCCCTTCGGCATCATTTCCTCTATCGGAATGTGCTGGGTCCTCGGTTTCGTCATCAACATTGTCTTCGTGGCCGTTCTGCCTCATGATATCGAGCCTCTGCTCTCCACCGTCTACCAGCAGCCTATGGCCCAGCTGGTCTACGACGTGCTCGGCAAGAACTGGGCCATCGGTATCATGGTGGTCCTCTTTGTGCTCCAGTGGACCATGGGTCTGTCTATTGTGACTGCTGCGTCTCGACAGTCCTGGGCTTTCTCCCGAGACGGAGCCCTGCCCTTCTCCAACTTCTTCAAGGTCATCAACGAGAAGTTCTCCAACCCCGTGCGATGCGTCTGGGGCAACTCCGTCCTCGCTCTGGCTATCGGCTGTCTTTGCATGATCGACGCTGCTGCCGCTGCCGCTCTCTTCTCTCTGTCCGCTGGAGGAAACGCTCTGGCTTGGGGTCTTCCCATTTTCCTGAAGCTCGTCTACGGTGGCGAGAAGTTCGTGCCCGGACCCTTCTACATGGGCAAGTTCCTGTCGACTCTCTGTGCCTCTTTTGCATGCTTCTACCTGGCCTTCACGATTGTGCTTCTCGAGTTCCCTCAGACCACCTCTCATCCTTCCAAAGAGACCATGAACTACACATGCGTCATTCTAGCCGCCGTGTGGGGTGGCTGTATGAGCTACTACTTCCTGTTTGCGCACAAGTGGTACCAGGGACCCAAGACGACTCTGGAGCCCGTGGTGGTGGACGGAGAGGTGGTTGGCTTCAACGAGGAGACCGACCACCACAAAAAGATTGAGGCTGACTACGAAAACAGCCACCAGGCCAGCAGCCAGACCAGCTCTGAGTAAATCCGAGCCAAGTGATTCGTCACACATAATTTATAGATTGTTGTAATATTGTAATGGTTAAGATGCATAGATTAGTATTATGTGGACTCTGCGACATAGTGGTCATGTTTGAACAGGTTAAGGTCCTTGTAGGCCGCCCACATGAGCCCTTCCTCCTCCACGGTGCTGCGATCCACGCTCCACCACGTGTGGCTGTCGTCTGTCTCCTCAATGTACTCGCTGGGCTTGATTGCTCGTTGCTGCTGCGAGTCTAGCACAGCTCGAAACTGCAGACAGTTGAAGATGAGCCGTCTTTTGATCGAGTTGGACAGGTCCGTGATGCCCACACACAGCCGGTTCCACTTCTTGTCCGCGCTCTCTGGCACAGAAACCCTCCCTAGGTTCAGTATCAGGTTTTGGTTGTGGTGCGTCTTTTCGGGCAGCATGTCTCCCGAGCTCGTCAGGTCGTTCATGATCGGTCTGCGGACCATGGCGTCCTGCGGGGGCGTCACGTCGATAGCGAGGTAGCACAGCGGCTGTAGCGAATGAAAGTCCGTAGTCCGGAGGTTCAAAAACACGTCGTAGACGCCAGACGCCAGATATGCGTCGTGTCGGATCTCAATCCAGTGCACGTTAGCCGCAAACAGACCCGGACAACCGTTCGGCTTGGTGAAGTACTTCCAGGTGCCAGCAGCTGGAAAGTCGGCGAGCTCGTCGTAGTAGTCGCATTTTTCGCGCTCCAGCTCCGAGTTGCGTTGTATGGTTTGTGCGTCAAAATAGTGCACGTCTCTCAGCATGAAGTGGTAGAGGAAGAACCACGAGCCCTCCGGGAAGTCGTCGGGCCATATCCGCGTCGCGTCCGTGTGATCTCGGTTGCAAATGTGATTGTGGTAGGAGCGAATGGCGGAGGAAGATGCAATTTCGGGCAGTAGCGCATACCGGGCACGCGACAGCTCCTCGTACACGACGTCCACAAAGAGGAACAGCCGCTTGTTGACACCTCGCAAGACGGTAGACGGGATGTGCTGGGCTAATATGCGGACAATCTCAACGGGGAGGTCGTTGAGCGTTGTTGGCATGGGTCCGATTTGTGGAGTCACGTGTAAGTAGGTGTGTGTGGTCTCGCTTGCATTTAGGGTTCGGCTCTCTGGCTTGCACCTTCGCATAACACGATAGGGTGTGGCAGCAAAGGGGAAATGGGAAGGTTGTTTCTTGCTCAATGGGCCTAGTGGCTTCCATGGGGGCATGAAAGAGGCTCGCCAAGGTGTGAGATGGCGAGGCTGAAACGATAGAGCCCGGTTTATGATTCCATCTGCGATGCCAGATTGCCCGGGTATAGAAGGTCTGTTACGGTGGACATTGCTACCAGCAACTCTAGATGCATATCGTGATTCTCCACACGTTGTTGTATGACGTAACCTGCTGCAAGGCAGTACCGTTGCAGACAGCAATCTACGAAACGGTT